GTGGGCCCATCTATCTGGTAGAGGGAGCATAAAGATTTAAGAGTCAGAGGACCAGGATGGATGCTTGCTGTTAGTGTCTTGTAGTTGTTGCACTTCTATGGTTGCCTAAACAAGACCTGCGTAATGACAATGCCAGCGGACATACCAACGGGAATGCAGGGAATTCCTACAGTCAATGCTGTTGAGGAAGGGAGAATCAGTCCTCTCCAAGGATGAGCCCTGAAGGTCATCCAATCTCAAGTGGATGCCTTAGGTTACACATATTTCTGTAGTAATACTTATAGAAGAGCTCATGGTTTTAAGAGAGTGGGGGATGTGGGAGGAGCTCAAGCAAGGAGATGGGGGGTGGGAATGATATAAATGGGTGTATTCATATAGAAAATTCTCAGAAAAGTTTAAAAACAAACAAATAGCATTCTGAAACTCAGGAGGAAGACCAGCGCTAGAAGCATAGACTTGAAGGTCAGTAGTGAAGGCCACAAAAAGAGCTGAGGTTTCACTAAAGTACAGAAGAGCAAAGAAAGTATGGTGGATAAAAGCCAGAATCCTGAGGAACACTAACACTCCAGGGGTAGAGAGGAAGGTTCCGGGGAGCTGTAGAGGGAACAGTGGGAGAACAGCAGAAATGAGTATGACACAGCCAGCAGGGAAGAGTGAGGGAGAGTGACTGCTTCTTGGTGGCTTAACATGGTTTACGTGGACAGCCAACTGTCACCCACCAAAATTAAAAATTACAAGACTTGGAGGTGGGTGCAGTGTGGCTGTCATGGGCTGGTGAGAAGAAAGCTATTTAGGGGAGAGTCAGAGAGTTACAGACCAGCTTGGATAAAAAACAACTTTCTGTTCACTCAAGAAACTCATCTTTCTTTCTCTCTCTCTCTCTTTCTTTTCCTTTCTTCCTTCTTTCATTCCTTCCTTTCTCTGTTTTTTGTTTTTTTTTTGAGACAGGGTTTCTCTGTGTTGCTTTGGAGTCCGTCCTGGAACTAGCTCTTGTAGACCAGACTAGCCTTAAACTCACAGAGATCCGCCTCCCTCTGCCTCCCAGAGTTCTGGGATTAAAGGCGTGCGCCACTACCGCCCGGCTGAAACTCACCTTCTAAAAGAAATAAAATAGCATCACAAAGGTTAATATTACTTCAGAAACAAGAATAAATGGAGATCAATACACAGTGTTCCACCTCCGAGCAGCAGAGCTGCTTTTAAGAGTCTTTGTCTTCTGCAGACACAGACGCAGCGGAGAAGTCCTTACCAGTTTTACCCCACAGCCACAGCCTAGGCGGCTTTCTTGTGAGACTCCAACTGGAACTAATAGAACATGTTCCCAAAAGGGAACAGTTTCTTCTAGAAAGAGCATCCTATCTGATTGGAGGTGAAAAATCGAACGAAGCAGAAAACACCATTAAAGACGAGGCCAAGGAAGAACTCCTTTATATGCTAGTTCAAAAACCTATTTGAGAAAAGCTTTGGGGGCACGGGTGTGCTTTGTACGTCATTGCTTCCTCAGTGGCAATGTCTCTGGGAATCCACCAAGAAGCCTCAGATTAGATTACTGCGAGGTCATGAATCTGCTTTTTACTAAACAACAAAAGTGTTAACACTAAGGTTAAGACGGAATGTTTATTAAAGATGTTATTAAATAAAACATTTAAACTAGCAATACATACATACATATGAATACCCCTCCAGCTCAATGTTGACATTTAATTTGCCATTTCAAGAGTATTAAAAGGTAGGACCTTTCAAGAGGTGGTCGGATCACAGGGGCTCAGCTCTCAATAGGTTAAGGGGGTTGGAGAGATGGCTCAGCAGTTAAGAGCACTGGCTGCTCTTCCAGAGGTCCTTACTAACGGTGGCTCACAACCATGCGATCTGAATTCCTCTCTGGTGTGTTTAAAGACAAGACAGGTCACTCATATACATAAAATAAATATTAAAAAAAGAATAGATTAAGGCCATTTGTAGATGGAAGTTTCTGTCCTGCCTGATCCTGCAGCTGTTCAGTCCCAAAGAAACACACAGAGGCTTATGTAATTATAAACTGCTCATTACTAACTAGCTCTTACACCTTAAATCAACCCATAATTCTTGTCTATGTTTAGCCACGTGGCTTGTGACCTTTCCTCAGTAAGGCATTCTCATCTTGCTCCTGCATCTGGCTGGTGGCTGCATCTCTGCCTTTCCTCTTCCCAGAATTCTCTTAGTCTGGTCACCCTGCCTGTACTTACTGCCTGGCTACTGGCCAATGAACATTTTATTAAACCAATGAATGACAAATCTTTACAGTGTACAAGAGCATCATCCCACAGCAGTCGTTATGGTAGGAGTGGGTGAACTATGACTAACGGGGGTGGAGGTTTTGTTTTCAGTCTCTCTTATAATTTCTCCATGTGATGCTTTCTTCCATGTTATGATGTAGCCAAAAAGCCCTACACAGAGAAACCCTGTATCCAAAAGACAAACAAACAAAAACAAACAAAAGAACAACAAAAAAACCAGTCCACGACAAAATGGCAAGAAGTAATGGTGAATATCCAACTTGGTAACATAGCAAAATCACATTAAAAAAGGGAAAATGAAAGGAAGCATGTCTGCTGAGATAATCCCCGACAATGCTATCATTTGGTTATACTAGGTTCTGATAATGTCAGGGTATTGTCTAGTTTCATGTTACGATGATAAAACATCCTGACACAAGAACAAGACAACTTAGGGGAAAAAAAGGGTTATTTGAGTTCAATTCCAGGTCACAGTCCACCTTTGTGGGGAAGGCATGGGAGGAATTTCCAGCAGTAGCCATACCATATCCAGTCAAGAGCAGAGAGAACACTGAATGCCTACATGCTTGCTTGCCTGCATCCTGACAAACTTCTCAACATTTCAGGATCCCTGCCTAGGAATGGTATTACCCACAGGGGCTGGGTCTTCCCTTATCAACTACTCAGGACAGTGCCTGCAGGCCTGCCCACAGACCTGCCCAACGTAGGCAATTCCTTATTGAAATTTTCTTCCCTTGGGATTCTAGGCTGTATCAAACTGAAAATTAAAGCTAACCATCATAGACATTAAAATGGAAACACTCAGAACTGAAAATAATAGGAGGGTAAGGCAAGTATTTTGAGTCATTAGTACGGGATTCCTGAAGTTCTCAGGCATGAGATTGCTCAAGCGTATACATTGTTTCAGCTGGGAGATGGTGGCCACACCTTTAATTTCAGCACTCAGGAGGCAGAGGCAGGTGGATCTCTTTGAGTTCTAAAACAGCCTGGTCTACAGAGCAAATTTAGGACAGCCAGAGGTACACAGAGAAAACCTGTGTAAAAAAAAAAAAAAAATCCAGCCCCCTAAAAAAAGAGTGTACACTGTTTGAAGGCCAGCCTGGTCTACATAGTGGGTTCAAGGACAGCCAGAGCTACTTAGTGAGAGTCTGTCTAGAAAAAAACACAAAAATAAACAAACAAAAACCAAACAAAACCCAAAAAGAATATACATTGTAACTATAATGGAAGAAACATTTCAGGGGCTGAGTGAGAAAGAAGAGTCCAGGGAAGAGACCAAGTGACCAGACAAGTGGGAAAACTCAGACAAGGCAGGAAAATCAAGAAAGGCTTGAAGGAAAAAAAAAAAAAAAGAAAGGCTTGAAGGAAGTTATGATGGGCATTGTATATTTGCTCATGGAAGACTTTTTGAGAAAACGGGGTTTGTGGCCATGGGAAAGGGTTTACAGGTATGGCTTATCCCACTTGTAACCAGACTGAGCTTCTGGAGGGAGGGGCTCACTGCTCTTGGTAGTCCCTGGGCCTCTTACAGAATCAAAACAACTAGGATTCAGTTAGTTTATTGGCTTCATCTGCAGAACTGTGAAAAGCTGGTGTATATGACAACATCAGCTGCCGAGCCAGGTTGGAGAGGGAGCAGACCGAGTATACGCTGGATGAGAAAAGAAGGGAAATATATTAACTTCTTGCCTGGTTCCTGTGACGACAAAATATCTGACAAACCAACTGAAAACTGAGGGTTTATTTTGGCAGACAGTTTTAGGGTACGCCCACCATGGAGGGTCAGTCACTTGGGAGAAGCTTGAGGCAGTTCGTCACACTGTGTCAGAACTCAGCAAGCAGAGTGGTGAGGCCCTCTGCTCAGCCATTCTCTCCTTTCTACCAGTCCAGCACCCCATCCCATAATCATGCCACCAACTGGGTGGGCTTTCCACCTCAATCTAGATAGTTTCTCACAGGCACCAGCAGAGGCTTGTCTCCTAAGTGGGTCTAAATCCCACCAGGCTGACAAGACTAACCACCACATAGAAAGATAGTAAAAGCTGGGCAATGGTGGCGCACACCTTTAATCCCAGCACTCGGAGGCAGAGGCAGGCGGATCTCTGTGACAGGCTCCAAAGCCACAGAGAAACCCTGTCTCGAAAAACCAAAAAAAAAAAAAAAAAAAGAAAGAAAGAAAGAAAGATAGTAAAGATCCAGAAGTCAGGAGCTGGAGAGACGGCTCAGTGTTAAGAGCACTGGCTGCTCTTACAGAGAACCCGGGTTCAATTCCCAGCACCCACAAGGCAGTTCACAACTGTCTGTAATTCTGCGAGGCACTGCTAACATGTGGTGCACAGACACACACGCAGGCAAAACACTCAGAAGCAGAACATTTAAAAAATAATAAAACAGAGACCCTAAAACCAGGTAGCAGTCGGACTTACTATATGTATCAATAATTTAGGTAGTTCACAAGAAAAGGATGAAGTTCCGGGTTTTCTTTCTTATTGTTAGTCCCTCATGGGAAAACAGCACATCAAAGGTAACTGAGTCCTGAGGCCTAGTTCCTCATTTACTTCTCATGAGAGCCTGAGGCAAGTACAACTGTACTAACAAGAAACGGTAGTTAATAAATGATATCCCCAAGCCCGCACTGAGGCTGCTATGCCAATGCCACTGGTTAGGCTTGGTTTCTGTAGCGGAGGTTTTAGGCTAAAATGATGCTACAATTATATCCTTTTGAAAAATATTTATTGAGTATAAATAAATGTCCTATACATTAAATATCAAGAAATATCCATTATTCATTACAAGTCAGGCTATAATACTGAGGGAACCATGGGATCAAACTAGCAACTCATGATCCAGTAGTGGCAGTTCATTCCAATGTTGGACAGAGTAATGACTTGTCACGTGACACAGCAAGACCTATCAGACACCCGTCACTCAAACCACCTATGACACCACAGACAATGGTTCTGAAGCACACTACTGACAGTCTCAATCTCATCAATAATCACTACCTTATCAATGTATCGTCACACTGAGACTGCACTTACACTACCATAAAGTTTAGTCTCACCCCCTTGTTTATTCCAAATTATTAATGATGAAAACAGGACATACAAAGTCAAAGACTTTTCAGTTAGTCTTTCCTAAGGAAAAAGAAAAAGAATTAAATTTTAGTAAAAGACAGCTTCCCCCAAGCAATGACTCTCTTAACGGAAAAAAATAAGATACAGGAACGGTGCAATCAGCTTTTCCTTCAAAGAAAGGAAAGAAATCTAAATCTGTTTGGCAAATTGGGAAATATCTCCTAGTCCCAGAATCCGTAGTTTTGTCTCATGTGCTGGAATGCTGCAGTCTAGGAGGCTGGAATCTGCGGTAGTCCGAACTCATCCACCAGCACGCCGTCCTGTGAGAAGAAACTGAGGGTCAGTGCTGCTCTCCGACTTGGTAAAAATGATTATTACATTTAGTAAGCAGAAGTCATGTCCAAGCATTTAATCAATCAGAACTAAAATCCCATTCAGAAGCTGACAATGAGCCTTTTCATCCAAGGCAAAGGGGCCTGATGAAACTGGCACAGAACTAAAAAGGGTGAAGAACAAAGAGGAGACCCAGAAAGAGGAGCGGTGACTGCTAGGGCCAGCGGGGAGGGTGAAGTCCTTGACTCCAGGTACATCATTTTCACTCCCATCTATCTTTTATAGAGCGGCAAATCCTTGAAGGGAGGTCTCAGGTGCACAGTTGCTTCCTGTACCACACTCTGCCACTAATCAGCCAGGGTCGGCTAAGGGTTCCTCTTCACGGTCATCTGTGTCCTACACTGGAAAGAGCTGGAGATGCAGCACAGTGGAGGAACGCTTGCCTAGCATGTGTGAGGCCCTGTGTTAAAATACCACAGATGCTTCAGGGACTTGTTACTAGGAAACCGAAAGGCGGGTTACAGTAGTGATCACAAAAATAGCTTCAGCGTAATTACTAAAGAGTAGATAATTATATAATTATTTAAAGCAATTGTGCACCTGGGACTTTTTTCTTTTTTTTTTTTTTTTTTTTGGTTTTTCGAGACAGGGTTTCTCTGTAGCTTTGGAGCCTGTCCTGGGACTCCCTTTGTAGACCAGGCTGGCCTTGAACTCACAGAGATCCGCCTGCCTCTGCCTCCCGAGTGCTGGGATTACAGGCACATGCCACTACCGCCCGGCTGCACCTGGGACTTTTAAGAAGCCAGAGAGGTATTCTGAGCTCAAGGAAGGAGGCAGAAGCACGTTCACAGAGACCTACAAAAGGCCTACAAAACTACCTGCCATGGGGTGCAAGCCCGTAAGCAGCTCTCTGTGTCAGTTCTTCCCCCCAGGTTCCTGTCCTGACTTCCTTCAGTCATGGTCTACAGTGTGGAAGTGTAAGTCAAATAACACTTTCCTTCCCAACTTGCTTTTGATCACAGTGTTTCATCATAGCAATAGTAACCCTAGCTAAGACAAGGAGAAGACAAGGATTTCTAATTTGCTCAGAATTCTATGTGAATAAAGGCAGATTTAGGGCTGGACCTTACAGAAAAATTCAGTCAGCGGTACTGCGAGTACTCAGCATGTTTATGGGGAGATCAGATAAAACAGGGGCTATAAATATCCATGACAAATAACACATTAGACTAGCAACATTAACTAAGAGGGAATGGAGTTTTATATGCAGTAAAGTGCTCTGTTTACGATGGCAATTGTACAGTATGAGCTAGGGATTAAGTCCTTTACATATAAGGCCTACGCGGCTCTAAACAGCAATCACGTGAATACTTCACACATGCAAAGAACAGAAACAAACAGCTAAGTGATCTGTTACAGTGTCAGAAATCCCGATTCTCCTCATTTGTTGAACTAGGATCTTTCTAATAGTAAGGTTTCCATCCCTGTATTTCCCGTATTTCCATATAGGGTTTCATTTATCTCAGGTTAGCTTCCAAATCACTCTGTAGCCAAGGGTAGCCTTGAACTCCTACTCTTCCTCTTCTACCTCCCCAGTACTGGGGTTACAGGCCTGTGGCCACACACATAGTCTATGTGATCTGGGGATCACATCCAGGGCCTGTGCATGCTAGGTAAGCACTCTGTCAATTGAGCTACATTCCCAGTCTTACTTAGTAAGTTTTATACTAAATTTTATACTTCATAGTTTAATCCAATATAATTAGTATGTCCGGAGAGGGACTTTTTCCTTTGTCCCCTCCGCTCTCTCAATATTTATTTTATGTGCATGAGTTTTGCCTGCATGTTTTGTGTTTGTAAAGGTCAGAAGAGGGCATTGGATACCCTGGAACTGGAGTTACAGATGGTTGTGAGACAACATGTTGGTACTGGGTATTGAACCCAAGTCCTTTGAAAGAACAGCAAGTACTCAATTACTGAGCTAACTTGCCAGCTTAGGAGTGGGACTCTAATATGACCACTCAAAAGGTAAATAGAGAAGTGGATTGCCTTTATGTTCTGCTACTTGAGAGAGGCTAAGGCCAAAGGATTGCTTGGCTCAGGAGTGAAGGATACCTGAGACCCTGTCTCTAATTAATTTAAGAAAACAAAACAAAACAAAACAAAAAACCAGACTGGAAATATAACTCAGTATAATGTGCTTGCCTAACACGTGTGAGGCCCTAAGAATAAATTCCCAGCAAAACACACCACACACACACACACACACCAACACATACTATCAGTAAACAAGGCTCATGCATGTGTCATCAATGCTCTTCTATGGAATGGTAAAACGTGTAAATAGCGCCTAGTGCTAGTTTACAGGCTGATTACATATATAACATGCCACTGTATAACCGCAGATGGTCTAGAGGCAGAGGCCTGACAGCCTGAACAACCTGATGAGGCCCCGTCTCAAAAGAAGACACAGCTCCAGTGGAAGAGTGCCTGTCCAGCAGGTGTAAGGCCCCCAGTCCCAGGAGAACGAAAACAAAACATTGTTGAGTCTCAGGGGCTTGTTTGCTTTTTTTCGAAACAGGGTTTCTCTGTGTAGCTCTGGCTGTCCTAGAACTCACTTTGTAGACCAGGCTGGCCTCAAACTCAGAAATCTGCTTGCCTCTGCCTCCAGAGTGCTGGGATTAAAGGTGTGCTCCACCACTACCCGGTGTCTCATTGACATTTTTTATGCAGCTTTTAGTTGCCCGATGCAGGAATACTGGACTTTCAAAAATTCTTAAAATAATGATCAGAGCTACTAAATTTAGGACTATATTTTAGATTTCCAGTGGTGGATATAAAACCTTTAATATGTTGTGTGGAAAGTCATAGTATACATACATACATACAGACAAAACTCAGAAAATAAGTAAATCTTAAAAAAGGGAGTCCCGCTAAACAGTGGTGATGCACACCTTTAATCCCAGCACTTGGGGGCAGAGACAGATGTCTGTGAGTTTGAGGACAGCCTGCTCTGCATAGCGAGTTCCAGGATAGGCTCCAAAGCTACAGAGAAACCCTGTCTCAAAAAACCTGTCCTGCCTGTGGCCACATTAGTTATCTGTAGGACTGTTTAGACTACAGGCAGTGACCTGAGCAGACTCCTTAGGGAAAACAGTACCTTGTTCTTTGTGTCAGTGGGAACGCCTTCTGGAATTGCAGGCGCAGAGGCTGCTTCATCTAAGTAGGAACTATCTTCATCAGCCAGAAGCTCATCGCCCAGTGCATCCAACTCTGAAATTAAACAGGCTTCATCAGAGAAAACTGTGAAGAGAAAACTGGCTTCTTTTCCCCAAAAGTTAGTCAAATGATTTGTTAATGAGCAAATATAATACAAAAGAAAAGGGACTCATCTCTATTTCTTAATCTTTATTTTTTCTATTTTAATTTAAAACTTTTCGTTGGGCAATGGTGGCACACACCTTTAATCCCAGCACGTGGGAGGCAGAGGCAGGTAGATCAAACTCACGGAGATCTGCTTGCCTCTCCCTACCGAGAGCTGGGATTAAAGGCATACACCACCACCGCCTGGCTTGTCCTGGAACTCTTTATTTAGACCAGGCAGGCCTTGAACTCACAGAGATCGGCTTGTCTTTGCCTCTGGGGTGCTGGGCTTAAAGGCGTGCGCCACCATGTCTGGTGTCCTGAGAGGAATTTTAACCAGCATTTGGGTACTGGTCCCAGGCGGTGGCTCCTGAATGACTCTGAAGTTAACACACACTGCAGAGCACTCACCCGCTTCCAGGTCGTCCTCGTCTAACTCTGGGGTGCCATAGCTGCGACTCAGGGCTTCCTGGATTTCATTTGCGTCCTCCATCATATCTTCCAGCTGGTCTTGTAAATCCTATGGAAATATATGACAGGGTTTTCTTTCTTTTTTAGCCTCTTAAAATTAATTGGTTTAATTCGAGGTGACACAGAATCCAGAACACAACAAAGGAGGGATAGCAGGCTCCGGCAGGACTTCAGACTCAGTTTACCTGAAACTCACAGCTGAGTTTAAAGGTGGAAACAGCTGAATGAAAGCTAGACTGTATGATTTTTTTTTAAAATAAAGTTTATTATAATCTTCAGCAGGCTCCAGTATAACATTTCATTCTAGCTACAGGGGGCAAAAGATGTAACAGCAGGGAATCCAGGGTTTAAAGAGGAACGGAAAAGTGTCACCGTAATCTAGGGACAAGGAAAAGCCTACTTTTTGCCAGATTTCTGAATTCCTCTTAGCCTTGGCTTCTACTTCCTGAGTTTCTTCTGCCCTTCTCTCTGTTTCTGCCTGGAAGCCTTCCTATTCATCTTCTTGGCCTGATTTTTGGCTGTTTCAGGGCCTTTTCTTCCACCTTCTTGGCCTGACATGACACCTGTGGCCTCTTCTCCAGACTCTTTTCTGCTGATCCTCATTTTTTTCAAGTGTAAGGAAGCAGTTTTACTGAGAAGTAAATAATGGACCTCTGTAGCAGGTAAGTAAAGGTCCCCAAAATGGGTTTACCGTGACAAGGTAAGGTTTCCACTTAGGAATGAGAACTAAAATTTAATTTTTAAATTGTATTTATTTATGCACATACATGCGTGCTTGTGCTTGTGTGCACGTATATGGGAGCATGTGCCATCAGTGCACAAGTCAGGACAATTCTGGGAGTTTCCTCCTCTCACCTGTGAATCCCAAGGACTGAACTCAGGTCCACCAGGCTTGGTGACAAGCTCACCTGCTGGGCCAGATCACCAGCCCCAAATGAGAAATTATAAACTCCATAACTGTCAGGTCCTGTTCTACATGACAGTAGTCAGAAACAGGCTTAGTCAACCAAGCACGGATGCTCCAAAGGACTCCTGAGGATCCCCGCCCCCCCTTTTTAAGACAGAATCTCATGTGGCCCAGTTTGAGCTCAAATGCACTTTGTAACTAAGGGCGACCTTAAATCCCTCATTCTCCTGCCTCTACTTAACAAGTTCTGGGATTACAGGTGTATGCTACTAGGCCTGACTTCTGGCTTCTACTTTTCTTTTCTCTTAGTACTTAGAAATGAACTTTGATGGTGGTGGTACTGGAACCAACTGGTACTGTGCATGCGAGGTAAGTACTCTAACACTGAGTTACCATCCCAGTTCAAATCTTGCACTACTTAGTGAGAAGCACTATCAGCCTTCCTGGGCTGGAGAGACGGCTCAGCGGTTAACACCACTACTGTCTTGCTCTTTTAAATGATCAGCATTTGTTTCCCAGCACCCACATGGGGGCTTACAACAGTCTAGTCTGTGCCTCCCCACCCCCCAATACTGGGGATGGAACCCTGGGTCTGGATCATGGTTGGCAAGTACTCTACCCTCAGCCCTATTTTCCTCATTTAAAAAAAATGGGATGATTGGGCTAAGAGATGGCTCGTGGTTATGATCACATACTGTACCTCTAAGGCCCTGAGCTCGAGGCAATAGCTTTAATATGGGACCTGGTTCCCTCTTCTGGCCTCAAAGGACAATTGCACTTACATACACAAACCCCTCCTCAGACATATATGCATATACATAATTATGTTCTTAAAAAAACTGGAGAAATGTTTCAGTAGTTAAGAGCATTTGCTGCTCTGGCAGAGGACCTGGGTTGCATTCCCAGAACCCACATGACATTCACAACCATCTATAACTCCAATTCCAGGGGATCCGATGCCTCTTCTGGCCTTCAAAGCTACCAGGCATGCACACAGTGCACATACAGATATGCAGACAAAACACTCACAATGCATTAAATAAAAGTAAACTTTTTTAAATTTCATGTGACTACTGTAAGATTTATTGCAATAGGGGCTGGAGAGATGGCTCAGAGGTTAAGAGCACTGGCTGTTCTTCCAGAGGTCCTGAGTTCAATTCCCAGCAACCCACATGGTGGCTCACAGCCATCTGTAATGAGATCTGGCGCCCTCTCCTGGCCTGCACGCATACATGGAGGCTGAACACTGTGTACATAATAAATAAATCTTTAAAAAAAAAAAAGATTTATTGCAATAATGTATATAAAATAGTACTTAGTTTAAGGCCAGCCTGGGCAACTTAGTGAGACCCCGTCTAAAAAACTAATAAATAAATTTTAGAAAGTCAAAAAAAGAGGTGAGGCACGAACAAGGCCCTATGTTCAATCTGTAATACCACCACCACCACCACCACCAACAACAACAACAAAATTTTAAAAATTAAAAAAAATAAAACCCAGGTCAAACATCAGTATATTCTTCATATATAGAGGGGATGTGGGCACTGCTCACAGGGCAGCAGGTCTTACTCAGCACCACTGTTTCCTGGAGGAGGCATGGGGTCCTTGTGCTCTCAGATAAGCACTAGGGATACCAGGAGTGTTAAACACGCAGGGCTGTCTCTTCATAGGGAGAGATGGATAACATATTTTTGGCCCAGAAGGCTGGGAGCAGAGGTGGTTAACGGCCTGGTGACCTCTGCACTGTCACAGGCCATAAGGCTCTCCGACCCTTCCTTAGTTAATCTGTAGAAGCTATCTATGTGAAAGAGGCCACTTGCATTTCACGTGAGTTTTGATGCAGTCATGTCTTAAGCTTTGTTGTGCACACAGGACTGAGTTAATTAGTATCAGGAAAGTTTTTCCAGATTGTGCTGTGCCTGAAACTAACTACCCAGGGTCAGACAGAGTTTGTACCAACGTTGGCTGAGTTGTGTTGAAGTAGACTTCCTTCTTGCCTCTCCTGCTGGCCACGGCGTTTTCAGAGACACCCCCCCCCCCTTACAATTTCCAGAGCAACAAGTCATTTGTGAATTCCTTCCTGGCAGCCTAGCTTGTTTTTCCATATGAAAGTGGAGAGACTACCAAGTAGAATGCCCTTCTGTACACCTGGGTGTCAAACCCCAAGTGCACATGCGTCATCCTGCGGTGAGAAACACTCACCAAGGAGAAAAGCCACAGAAGGCGGAGTCAAATCAGGTTTATGGTGCTACATATCAAGAAGTCTCCCCAGCTAGGCATGGAGTTCTAACACTTTGAGGCTGAAGCAGGAGGATTGTTGTGAGTTCTAGACCAGTCCCACATACATGGTAAGACCCTGTGTCCAAAATGTATGTGTGTGTGTTGTGTGTGTGTGTCTGTTGCTTCTCAATCATTTGACGAGTAAGATTTCTTTTTAATCTTATTTTTATGAACAAGGCCTTGCTTTGTGACCTAAGCTGGCCTTGAACTTATGATTCTTCTGCCTCTGCCTTCCTTGTCTTGAGATTACAGGCCTGCAACCACAACACAGCCTATGCATAGGGTTTCTATTTATAGAGTCTAGGTTAGACACAGAAAGAAAAAAAGAAAGTCACCATGCAAAGTATTAATCTATCTTTAAATTCAATACTGCATAAACAAAAACAACTAAACAGAAGGACTACTCTAAAAACTGTATTTGCCCTAATGTCTGGGAAAAACAAAGACAAAAGACTTAAAAAGGGAGTTGGGGTGGGTGGGAGAGACAGAGAGGGCTCAGTAGTTAGAAGTATGTACTGCTCTTGCTCAGGACCTGAGTTCAGCCCCTCCATGGGCACTGTACTCATGTGCACAGACACCAGACACACACACACACATACACTGAAAAATAAAAACACAACTTTTTTGTTTGTTTTTTGAGGCAGAGAATCCCTACATAGCCCTGACTGTCCTGGAACTCCCTGAGTAGACCAGGCTGGCCTCGAACTCACAGAAATCCTCCTGCTTCTGCTTTCCAAGTGCTAGGACTAAAGGTATGCACCACCATGCTGGGCCTGAAGTCTTTTTTTTTTAAAGGATAAAAACAATTATACATAGAAACAAAAAATGTAAAAGTTAGAGCTATAAAAATAACTAAAATGTTTTATAATTATATTAGAAAAATAAACCTGAAAAGATTCCAAAGTCTGTAGCTTAGCCAAAAGAAATACACATGCTAATGGGGTCTGTTATGCTGCAGTCCAGTAGGGGCAGAGAAGGGTAATGGGAGAGATGGGGAGACCAAAAGCCAGAAGGAAGTTGAATTTGGTAGAATACATTGTAATGCTAGCACTGTGGAGGCTGAGGCAGGAGGACTGGGAGGACTGCCACAAGGACAAGGCTAGCCTAGGCAATATAGTAAATTCTAGAAGAGCCTGGGCTACAGAACGACATCCTGTCTCAGGCGCAAAGCAAAGCCTGAACTGGAAAGAGGGTCTAGGGTCAAGAATATGTGCTGCTCTTCTGAGGCCCTGAGTTTAGCATCTGTATGAGTCGCTCACAGGTACCTGTAAATTTTACTTCAAGGGTTCCAACATTCTTTTCCGGTCTCAGAAGAGATTGCACACACATACAAAAACCCATACATAGACACACACACACACACACACACACACACACACACACACACACGTACATATTTACAGACAAAATTAAAATCTTAAAAAAAAAAATTACCATCCCCCCACCCCCGCGCCAACCAGGCAGTGGTGGCACATGTCTTTAATCTCAGCACTCAGGAGGCAGAGGCAGGTGGATCTCTGAGTTTGAGGCCAGCCTGGTCTACACAGTGAGTTCCAGGGCAGCCAGGGCTACACACAGAGAAACCCTGTCTCAGAAAATAATAATAATAATAATAAAAACAAAACCCCAAACAACAACAAAACCCCCAAGAAAGGAAGCCAGAATAAGCAAAGGTTCTCTTCTGTTCATATTAAACAGCTCTCACTGAACCCACAGGAGAGGTGGCACAAGTCCATAATCCACACATATGGAAGGTTGAGGCAGGAGAAGGCCAGCACACATAGTAAGATAGGCTAGCCTGGGCTGCAAAACAAGATCTTGTCTCAAATACAAAACAACACTACAAAGAGTACTACCCAACTTTTAGGGACTAGTAAGCTGTAAATGGTATTATACAAATGAGCACACAGGATATTGTTCTCAGTGAATTTCCTGAAAGCTGTAACAGTGCCTAATGCCATGTAAACAGAGACTTGGGAATGACTAGGATCGCTCAAGGGCCGTGTAAGGGGGCAGTGGAAAGGAGTAAGGCAGGGGACCAATGCCCTCGACTAGAACAGTATGGCATCACCTTTAACCTTTAAATACTTCCTGGGCCTCAAGTATGGTAATGTATCTTCAAGGCAATGGGGATAAAGACTGAAAGAACAAAATTAAATCCCTTCCTTCAAGGAAAGAGGGGTTCTAAACAGAGGGTAAACATTGTGCCATAGATGTAGGAAGAAGCCTTTTCCCTTTGGCAGGCCACTATGTTCCTAATGTTCTCCCCACCAGCTCCGCCTGCCACATGAAATGCTCACTCCCGCCAGGCCAGCTCCACCTGCCACATGGGATGCTCACTCCCACCTCCTCTGCCTGCCACAGGGGATGTTCACCTGGGAGCTGACTGAGTAGCCAGGCTTACAGGCCTTACGTTCCTGACCAAATCCTCGACCCCAAAGGAAATGGTAACTTCAAGAAGCTAGTAATTAATTACCAAATGTAAAGAAAATTCCTCAAAATACTAGAAAAGAAATTGTGTAAACCAATTACATACACATACTCATTTAACATCATGGTGTACGCTCTAATCTTAGCACTTAGAAGGCTGAGGCAAGGTTCAAAGCTAGTCTGGGCTTCTTTGCAAGTTTTTTTGAGGGGAGGACACAATACTCGGAGACAGCTCACACATCTCACCTGTATAATAACTGTGTGTGGTTATTATGGGATCTCTGGGATTTCTGCATTAGCAGAGAGGAAACTGAGGCCTTTAGCATCCTTCCCTTTCCAGAAGTCACTGTACTAGTAAGCAGCAGGCCCGGAGTTCATCCCCTTTCTCTGTATTTCTCGCCACAAACGTTATTCTCAACCTTGCAGTAACAAGTACACACATCTTGAAAAAGCCAGCAGACAGCTCACCTCAATCTGTTCAATTTTGACTTGCTTGTATGCCTTCTTCATTTCCTTTACTCCCAGTTTCATGGCATCCACCTAAGGAAGGGTAGAAGAAAGCACAACATATTTGCTGTTTTATTTTGAAGTACCAAGGATTTGAACCAGGACCTCATACATACATAACCATTCTGCCATTGTGTTACATCCCAGCCCTAAAAATACACTGTTTTGAGAAGTCATGTTTGTGCTGGAGTGGTGGCTCAGTCATGACAAGCATTTGTTGCTCTTGCAGAGGACCTGGGTTTGATCCCAGCATCCACATGCTCACCACCATCTCCAGCTCCAGATCCAGGGGCTCTGATGCTCTCTTCTGACTTCTCTGACACTAGGCACACAAGGCACTCAACAAACATGCAGGCAAAGCATACAAACACATAGTCATGTTTACTAAACATCATTTAAAAACCATGGGAAAGTGTATGAGATTTAAAAATTAAAATAGAGCTGAGAGGAGGTGGCACACGCCTTTAACCCCAGCACTTGGGAGGCAGAGCCAGGCAGATCTAAGTTTGAGGCCATCCTGGCCTACAAAGCGAGTTCCAGGACAGCCAAAGATACACAGAAAAACCCTGTCTCAAAAAACAAAACAAACAAACAAATTAAAATGGGAAAAGTGCTTTGGGCATACCGTGGTCCTGGTGTCCTTCAGAGACTGAATGGTGTAGTTAGCCTGCTCCATGTTGAAGGACTGCTGGGCAAGGTTGTCTCGCTGCTGCTCATACCTTCGTGGAGACAGGGAGAATTAGAAATGGGAGACAGACAAACCCTTAGGAAGGAAGACCCTCAAACTAAATACGGGAATTTTCTCAAACAAACCAAAAAGTAAAGCCAAAACCATTAAAAACTACCCACTCTAACAAAGCCCCTCCAAACCTCTTTCCCTTGAATATTTCTGAATTTTAACTATTCCCACTTAACAACATATTATTTGTTTCTTTGTTCTATTTCTTGAAAAAGGGTCTTGTAATCCAGGTCAGCCTCAGACTTGTAGTGACCCTCCTGCTGAGCTCCCCAAATCCTGGTAAAGCAGGTGTCTGCCACTGCTCCTGTCTGCACTGTATCTTCTTACATCTTATTCATAGTTTTCTAATTATTTCCCAAGATGAATTCTTAGAAGTGGAACTCTTGGGGCAAAGGGGAAGATTATTTTTTAAGGTTTTTCATACATATAGCTATATGTTTTTCAGGTAGACTCGAAGTGCACTTAAGGACACTTTAATAATCCTGTATTCATAATGAGGCTATACATCTGACTTAATGTAAATTGGATGTCTGATACTAGAAATACTGATACTTTAAATGTCTGATACTCTTTAAAGTTTTCTATCCAATTATAATATTATGTCAAAGACTTATGTCACCATGATTTTTTTCTTCTTCAAGACAGGATTTCTCTGTGTATCCCTGCCTGTCCTGGAACTCGCTCTGTAGAACAGGCTGGCCTCAAACTCAGAGATCTGCCTCCCTCTGCCTCCCAAGTGCTGGGTTTAAAGGCATGTGCCACCACGCCCAGCTGTCACCATGATTTTTACATAACATTTGGAAACCATTTAACTAACAGAAGAAAAATAGGTAATTCATGATCCAGGCAAGGAGCAGATGACTCTATTAAGTTAGGCAGGGTAGCACTTGGTTCTAATCCCAGTACTGGGAAGCTGGGTCAGGGGATTAGAGCTGGAGGCCAGTCTTGGCACATAGCAAGACCCTATCTCTAAAAATAGAAACAGGAAAAAAATATAAAGTGGAAAAGAATAGCTTATATAGAAGACACATTATAATTTCAGTTTCCTATGAATCTAGATAAATTTTCTTTACATCTGTTTGCTTGATATATTTTCCAAGTTTCTGCAATAAATCTATATCCCCCCCCTTTTTTAAAAAAAAAAAAGGTTTATTTTTTTTTATATATATCTTTTTTGAAGCAGGAACTCATATAGCCCAGGATGGTTTAGAATTTACTAGCCAAGAATAGCTCTGAACCTCTGATATTTTTGCCTTCACACCCAACCGCTAGGTTTACAGGTGCATGCCACCATGCTTAGTTTATTTATTTACTTAATTTTAGATAGGGTTGCATGTAGCCAAGGCCAGCCTTGGTTCCTCTATGAAGCCAAGGCTCATAGGTTCCTGGTCCTTCTTCCCCTACCTCCTACGTGCTAGGATTATAGGCCTATGCCATTGAAGCCAACTGTATTTCTTCTATAAGAAAAACAAAATACTTTAAAACTAACTGCCACTAAGAAGGTAATATTAAAACACATCTTGGCCATTGTAGGCATTATTAGCTTTTTCCGATGGGATTTAATAAAAATGAAAGACAGCATCCGATATGTTACAAAGTCATTTCAAAGTTGGAACAGAGTTGTCGACAATTCTTCTGGTTTCCTACAAGCTGAGTAAGCTCTGCTTCTACAACTTCCCGGATGACCTCACAGGCTGGGCAGTCCTGGGGGGAACACCAGATATTAACTGGATTTTGCACAAACACCGGGACACAGTAAAGGAAAACCAATTGTGGGCCTGTACATTTGTCCTGCTGTGAGAGAGCACATACTTAGCACCCTAACTTTACAAACAAAACCTAGAAGACCATACTAACTAAGCAACGGGAAAGCCAAGCCATATGGACCTGGCCAGCCATAGTCATAGTCGCTAGCACCACATGGCTACCTAAGCTTAAGTTAGTAACATTAAACAATGGAAGATTATGGAAATTTGCAATGAAATCAAGAATACTTAGAAAATGATATGAAAGCAGGAAAGAATGAAGACCTTTTTGCTTTTGGCTTAAACTGGTCTTAGAAAAGAGATGGTGCATATGACTTACATTCGCTTTTGCTTTAAAACCCTCAGGGCTTTCTGTTTGACCATGTTCTGAGGAGAAAAACAGATTTAATAAAAAAGGGGAACACATATGGCAAAAGAAATCTCCCAATGTTCAAACTCGTGTGCCTATTTGCTTTTTTCTTCAAAAGAGCAGACATAGAGGCTCCTTATCTACTCTTCCCCTAAGCACAAATAACTCCAATGTCTAGTTAGTAAGCCTCAGCACCCTTTGCACCCCACACCTCAGTGTCCTGAACTACTTTCCCTTTTCTTGATGCACCCACTGCCAGCCCCAACTGTGCCCACTGTGTCTCTTCAGTCGCCTTCAATTTAAACACAACGTTCAACCTCTACCATGTCCTCATGTTAGAAACAGCTTACAACAACCTCGAAATCTCTCCCTTCTAGAAGCTGAGAACCTCTACATAAACTTTGTTTCCTCTTTCTGTTGGCTCTTCACGCACATTTACCAAACACTACTATATTCTAGGCATAATGCCATGTAGGTGACTTGTTATTTAATCCTCACACTACAACGGACGTGTTATTTTCATTTCACAGATGAGAAAATTGAGGCTGAGTGATGCATTGGTTCACACTGTTAGTAAGTTATGAAGCTGGAAAAAAAAAACCAAGATAGCTATATATCCATAGTCTATTAAACAGCGATAGTATTAGAACACTGGTCCTACAAGCTAATTCTGTACTTTTTCCTGGCCTGCCATTGTATTATATCTATCCCAGTCTGAGCAGCCTGACCACACCCAAATTCTGAGTACAACCAAGCCCTCGTCTGCAGAGATCTATTAGAACATATCAATTCCCATTATCATTAAATAAAGACCAGCATCTTCTATCTACCACCTTAAAACCAGCCTCCTCTTGTATCTGGCTGTACTCCCTTTCCCGAAGAGTATATATCCGTACGTGTATACACACCACGCTGTATTTTTCTGCATCCTCCCATACAGCTGTCAACATTAACCTACCTTGGCAGGACCCTCTCTCATCTTCTTCATTTGGTCCTTATATTTCACTAGCTCAGCATCCAACCGGGAAATCTTTTTGTCAATGGATTCTGCCCTGCTATCCACCTTGGAGGAAAATGTCAAATGTAGAGGTAATTATTATAATATATTTACACTGGAAGGGGCAGGAGGAGAGCGAGGAATATGGATGAAGAGGAGAAAACAAAGGAAGGATATAGCGAAGAGTGGAAAACAGTGGTTTACTGAAGGATGGGGAATACCAGCCAGAATAATCGGAAGAGGCTTTCATCAACTCTCCCCCACTTTGGGAATCACTGGGTTGGTTAAGTTTTCCCAAATGGGAGACTTGTCAGTTTGGGGACTCAACATGAAGGTGTATGGAATGAGCCAGTGGACACAGGGTACGATGAGATCTAATGCCATTTCCGAAATCAGGTTTAATCTGGAGGGGCCAAGGTTCAGAATTTTGTGCTACTCAGATCCATGACTAAGGTATAGATAGATATGTTAACCCTGACCGGGGCGAGGAAAGAGGAATGAGAAAAGGATTGGTAAGAGACCAGGTTGGACGAAGTGGGGTGTATGAACCAGGAAGGGCAGGTTGGAATGTGAGGACCAAAGCGAGAAAGAAGGGATGGGGCGCAGGGGGCATCAGAAAGGGTTTTAAGTGCAGTAAGGGCGAGGCAGTGATGAAGTGTCAGAGTCTCTGGTTTGGGGGGTCAGGAATGACTTGGAAAACAGGAATGAAAGGGGTGAGGATGGAGAAGACTGAGGTTTAATGGGCCCGAACCAGGAATGGGGTGGAGTAGGAATTCGGTACGGGCCGGTCGGAGTTGAGTCTAGGTATACAAAGTCAAATGCTCACTGTCCCAATGCAGTCAGTCAGGCTAGGCGGCGGAGCCTTAGGTTTCGCTTTTCCGAAGAATCGGTTCATCTTGGCTGGCGGCGAAGAAACCCAAACACTGGAGGAAAACCAGAAACGGAAGCGTATTCGCTCCGGTTTCAGTTTCCGGCCTCCCCTCCCCCCCCTCCAAGCGCAAGCGCAGAGGGCTCGCTGGAGTTTCCCAATCCTTTTTCCGGGTTTTCAGCTCCTCCTGCCAGAGAAGGAGCGTAGAGCTCTGGGAGAGGCGGAAAGACTTCTGGGGGCGGGACTTGGGGGAGGGATGGGGCGGTGCCTCGGCCAAGTGGGTGTGGCTTAGACGCAGCTGGGCGGATAGGGCGGGGCCCTGGAGCGGGGTCAGTTCCGAGGGCGTGGCGAGCAGATGGGGTGGGGCCGGTGAGTAGTAGGGCGGGGTTGCAAGGCTGTGCCGTCGACGGCCACCGCGAGGCGGTGAACAAACGCGGGCCTGGCGGATCGCAGCAGCCCTCGGAGACCGCGAGGGGACCGGGAGCCGCTGGGACCCCGGCTGCGCGCCCCTCGGCCTGGCCGGGAGTCGCGCCAGTCGGAGCCCCTGGCCGAGCGCGGCTCGCCTCCCTCTCAGCGTTCCTCTGTCCGCAGTACAGCCAGCGGGTATGACCGATCCACCAGGGGCGCCGCCGCCGCCGGCGCTTACTTGCCGCGGATGAAGAAGAAAGTCCGTCCCCGCTCTGCTCAAAGCGAGAAGGTGGCACATTGCAGGGATTTGATCAGGGGTAAGAAAGCGACCCGCAGCAAGAAAGGGACCGGGACCAAGGAGGTGACCCATTTAGAGGAGGTGATCACGATCGACGAGGCGACCCAGACCGAAGAGGTGGCCGTGGCCGAAGAGGTGACCCAGACCGAGGACATGGCCCAGATTGAGGAGATGGTTCAGACCGAGGAAATGGAAACAACTGGGGTTAGCGTGACCGTCACCCACAGTGAGTACCAGAATGGGCTCCGTAGGTAGGGTTGGGATCTGTGAATTTGGCCATCTGTAGCCAAGCATGGGCTCTTGGCTATGTTCGTGTGAATGGTTTGTTTTTGCCTGGGTCTGGTGTCAGGACATCTTTCCGTGTGGCCAGTTTGTTTTGTCCCTGGACATCTGTTAGGCCCTCTATTTTGGAAGCGTAGTTGAGTGTGTGCCGTCAGTAATAAAGTGTCAGCCTTGTATATGGCCATCTTGTGTGTGGAACTCTTGTGGTTCTGGACATCTACCTGTAAGTCTGAACTTACCTTTTCGGGCTGTTCATAACTTGCCGAGTACTTTCTGTATTGAATGTCACAGAACCGCAGGTTCAGTGGGCGGTGGGTCCAAGAGTTACTCTCTGGACACCTGGTGAAATTAAAACAGAACCAATCACTGGAAAGTACACGAGAAAGCTGGATCCGTGAGATTTCCTTAGAACCAGGCAGTTAGGAAAGAACCACATACTTTGCCATCTGGAAACCATGATTCTGTGTCCAGCAGCTTTGAGTGACCTTGAGATGGATGTCTCTTTTTTTTAAAGGGCTCTGATTTCTGGTCTGTGAAGCACAGATGGGAACTAGGGCTCCTTCAGACCCTGGATCAATTGGGAGAGTAGTCTAATAAGCTGGACCTGGACTCCACCTACTTAGGAAAGAATTGGCACCTGTGTTTTTAAAAAATGGATTTATTCATTTGTCTTTACTAAGCACTAATTATGGTGTACTTAGGTGTGCCCAGTAAGAAAGACGTGGAGGACAACAGCCCCTTGCGGGTGAATCAGGGGAGACAATAGGGAGTCAGGTGACTGTGATGGAAAGTGTGGACTTTGGAATCAACTAGATCTAAGGGCTGATTCTGCTCTGCCAGTTGAAGGTTTCCCTCAAGGAGGTCTATATTAGACTGATAGCGGCAGTATGGTGCTGTCCTGGGGTTTTAAGATAGGGCATGCAACAAGTCTTGTATAATTGTATATGTGTAATTGCATACAATTGCATGCAAATGTGACTCTAGCTGGGGCCATAGCTCAGTGGTAGAGCCCTTCCCAGCAAGCTCAAGGCACTGAATTCCATCCTCAGCACCATAAGACAGCATCAGCTTACTTTTTGGTTTATGTGAAAGCGTTGTCTTCATTGAATGCTTTTCTTTCCTTCCAGGCAATGAGAGGTATGACCTTCTTGTTACCCCACAGCAGGGTAATAGTGAACCATGTGTGCAAGACCTAGCTCAGCTTGTGGAAGAGGCCACGGGGGTTCCACTGCCTTTTCAGAAGCTCATATTTAAGGGTAGGTGCTTCTCATTTGTTTTTGAGTACTTATAGCCAAAGGACAGATTTCATTTTATTTATTTGTTTGTTATTTTAGTTTTCGGAGACGGCTTCTCTGTGTAGTCCTGGCTGTCCTGGACCTCACTCTGTAGACCTGGTTGGCCTCGAATTCAGAGATCTGCCTGCCTCTGTCTCCTGAGTGCTGGGATTAAAGGCATGTGCTACCACCACCCTGTAAGGACAGATTTTAAATTGCTTAGTCCTACCTACTGGTGACTTTCAGTTTTCTGTGTGTGAATGTGTGCATGGGTGTTTGTCTGACATACATGTCTGTGTACCACATTTGTGCAGTGCCCACGAAGGCCAGGAGACGGTGTCAGCTTCTCTGGAACTGGAGTTACCGATGGTTGTGAGCTACCATGTGGGTGCTGGGACCTGAACCCTGATGTTCTGTAAGAGCAGCAAATGCTCTTAATGACTGAGCTATCTCTCTAGCCCCATCTTTCAGTTTTCAAAGCAGAACTATTTTCTTTCTTTCATTCATTTACCAGGTATTTATTAAGGACCTGCTCTAACTAGACATTGCAAACATCTGGATGAGTATCAGATTTGGGGTAACATGATGACAGATGTTAACCTTTTTTGAGAAAACATATGGACAGCCTTCCCTTTATATGTTTTGCATGATTGTATTGAAGTTACTACTAAGTAAAGTCACCTCAGTTGCCTAATATCTGATTTGTTAGTATGACAGCAGAGATAGTGTTCTTGCCAGTACTTGACATAGTGCTGATTAGAGAGGCTTTGAACAAACTGAACAGGAGCCTGGATGGGCAGGGTGTGTTTATGATGCTGGTGCTGATTTCTGAGGCACTGACTCCTCCCCACCCCTCCTATCCTCGGCCTCCCCACTCCCATAGAACCCGTTATTCTAGTACATGATAGGGCCAGATTTATATCATTAGGTTTCGGTCATTGTAAAGAATTTAATAATGAACATTATGGCAAGGGCGTAACTTTAGAGTATAGTAATAGGAAGCATTTTATGTATATTTCATAGCATAGATCTTTGCCTTTTTCTTGGTGGGAAAGTGATAGTTTCCTAGAGCCCAAGCCATCTCGGAACTGATTATGAATGACCATGCCCCATGTCTTTTCCTTTTTAAATAATTTAATTTTCTGAATTGGAAAGACAATAGAAACGTATCTTTCAAAGTTGAGTATGGTAACACACACCTATAACCCTAGTACTCTGGAGACGCAGGCCAGTTCCATGTCAACCTGGGTAATAAGTCAGACTCTGCCAGAGAGAAAGGGGAGGGGGAGAGGAACAGAGAATGGCAGGAGATCAAGTTTCAAAACAGAAAGCATAAAGAAGAAATGTTCTTGTGGATAATGCTACTTGTTAATTTTTAAAACTGTTTTTATTGAGCTATATATTTTTCTCTGCTCCCCTCCCTTCTTCTTCCTCCCTTCTTCCCTCTTCCTTCTTCCCCTCTTCCCTTCTACCATCTCCCATGATCCCCATGTTCCCAATTTACTCAGGAGATCTTGTCTTTTTCTACTTCCCATGTAGTTTAGATCCATGTCCTCTTTGTTCTCTAGGTTCTCTGGTATTGTGAATTGTAGGCTTTTTTGTTGTTTGTTTGTTTTGATTTATGTCTAAAAGTCACTTATGAGTGAGTACATATTATATTTGTCTTTCTGGGTCTTCCCAATTTTTTTAAAATGATATTGTGGTTTAATCAAACATGCTAGGCAAGTACCAAACCACTAAGCCCTATCCTCAGCCCATGTATTTTACATTTTCTTTTTATAATATTGAGTTTACCTGCATTCACTGAAATATCCTGAGAAGAAAAGAGCTTTTTTTTTTAAGATTTATTTATTAATTATGTATACAGCATCTGTCTACATGTATCCCTGCAGGCAAGAAGAGGGCACCAGATCTTATTATAGATGGTTGTGAGCCACCATGTGGTTTCTGGGAATTGAACTCAGGACCTCTGGAAGGACCGTCATTGTTCTTAACCCATGAGCCATCTTTCATCCCCGAAAAGAGCTTTCATGACTAAAAAATCTTTTATTTTACAGAAATGATCTCTTGGAGCTGGAGAGATGGAAACTGTAGCCACATGCACATACCAACATATGCATACAGACATACATTATTAAAAATAAAATAAATCCCCAGAGGTGGTGGTGTGTGTATGCCTTTAATCCCAGCACTCGGGAGGCAGAGACAAGAGGATCTCTATGAGTCTCAGGCCCGCCTGGTCTACAAAGCAAGTACTAGAACAGCCAAAGCTGTTACATAGAGAAACCTTATCTTGAAAAAAAGCAAATAAATAAAGATAAATCTTAAAACCTGTAGGGACTGGAGAGATGGCTCTGCCATTAAGAGCACTGGCTCCTCTTCTGAAGGACCCAGGTTCAATTCCCAGCATCCACATGGAGGCTCTAAACTGGTCAATAACTCCAGTTCCAGGGGATTCCAGTTCCATTGGCACCAGCCACACATATAATGTACAAGCATACATTCAGGCAAAATACCTCTATACATAAAATAATAATAAATTTTAAAGAACTATGTCTACTATATGAATTATATTAATACTTTGTCCCTGAATATTATTTTTTTTTTTTTTTTTTTTTCTTTTCGAGACAGGGTTTCTGAATATTATTTTTAATAGTTGTTATATAAATATATTTCCAGTTATTTGTTTAGGATAAATATCAAGAAATGACATTATCAGGTAAAGACATTTAAAAAGAATTCCAATTTATCTTTTTATTGTTAGCAAACATGAAGCTTTTTGTTGGTTTGGTTGGTTTTGGTTCTTTTTTTTTTTTAAATATCTTTTTATTTAGTATGTATACAGTATTCTGTGTGTATGC